ATCTATGGATTATTCCATGTTGCTTTATTTTCCAATTGTCACAGGCTCCAGTGAATTGTAGTTACCTTAGATGGTAATTATAGCTTGTCTATATCAGGAAACAAGTGCTGCCCAGTTCTGTCTTGGGCCTCATTTCTTTTTACAATGTGCAGTATATTAAGAGTGTTCATCTAGCTGTGAAAAACTTTAAATTGCATTATAAATAACTTTTTGCTGACTTTGCTTGAAGGCATGTTTTATAGGCATATAGCTACTACTGCAGCGAAAGCTTCAGAGACAGTTTGTCATAGACTCTCTGCCTCATTACAAGTGACAGTTACCGATCGGCACTAAAATGTGAGTTGGTGTCTTCTGTCACTCTGCAATTATGTCACAGCTTATAAAGCACTATTTTAAAATGGCTGTATTTTTAACGGCACATTTTTATAAGAACATGTTGAACCTCCCTCTCAGATTCAAGATATATTACAAATTGGGATATTGTATGTATAATTAGCAATGTTATGTGATGTAATACCCCTAAAGTAAAAGTATTAAGTAGTCATTTAGCATATGCAAAGAGTAAAACTGCTGTGATTGAGGTACTTTATTAAGAATCTGTTGGATCTTCCTTTGGCCTTACAATAAAACAATGGCAGAACAGATGTTGTTCCTGTAGTTCAAAGAGCAGAGCATGTTTATAGCCAACACCAAGGTCATGGGTTTGATTCCCAGGGAATGCTTGCACTGAAAACATTTAAACCTTGAATGCAATGTAAGTTGCTTTGGAATAAAGCATGGCAAATGCAGGCCAGGTGTTAGTTTCAATGCAATGCATAAAATAAATAAATAAAAATAATATCTCTTTTTTTTAACAGTGTTGTTATTATTGGTTCTAATTTTTCTGTTCAATATTTATATCTATTTACAGTGTCATGGAGATGTCAGCCTCCTGTTTTAATATCAGATTTAACTGTAATAGAAGTGTTGAGTACAATTTACAATTTAAAAAAAAAAAACTGTCAGCTGTGCTTGCCAGAAATTCACCAGAAACATATTATGTGTCATACGAAGACAAAACGCTGTTAGGGTAACACACATGACAATAAAATAATGCAACAAAATATATTTATACGACATGCAACAAAATAATAGTAATAATGCAACAAAACTGCTTATATAAAATGTAATCATTTATGATATGTCACACAGGGACTTCTTTCCTTTCATTTACTTTTTACTGTCAGTTATACATTAACTCATAGTTTTGCATGCAAAAATTCAAATTTGACAGTACTTTACATATATATGAATTTACATATAATGTGGTGATAATCCATCTACAAGTTTTCAGTGTATATTAAAGTTAACCAGTTAACAGACTTGAAAACTAATACTAGCATATAGTAGCTGAAGTATAAATGAATTAGATGGCCCAGTCTGGGTAGCAGGTACTGTACAATATCTTTGCCCTCTTTTCTAGCACATATACAAAGTGCCCTCCCTTGAGAAGATGTGATTGACAGATGAGGTTAGAGGGTCATCTGTCGCAACAATTCTTAGATCAGCTTACATCTGGATCTCTCTGAAACTTAAGTTGATAGAGGTTTGGTGAGGTCATGTGTAACTGAGCAAAAACACACTTCACTTCTCTGATGGTGTGTAACGCTCTTGTATATTTCCCTGGTATTGTCTGGATTCTCTAGCCCAGACCAGTGAAGAATTCATTCTGCATGGGCTGCTTTTTTACTGCCACTTTAATAAATTACTAATATCTAATGTTGCTATTACAGTCGTCATCTTCCTCAGAGATTTTCTGTCATCATGTATCTACTCTGGTGTGGTGGAATTAAAATAATAGTTAAATACAAGTTAAGCTTGTAAGCAAGCCAAAATGAATCAGCATTATGTCACAAGTGCTGTATGAGTTACTTGACTTGTATTGAGCCAGAAATGTTCCTTTAAAGCCAGAGTGGAACACATGACTCTCATACAATGTAATGTTAAATCTTTTCTCTTTGAAGTATTGTATCATGCGAGTTGTGGTACAAATTAAAAATGTTTTGATTGAAGTTTATTACCTTATTAAAAGTCCCATAGCTTTAAGTATTTTAATGCTTTGTTATATTCTTGAAAAATGTTAGCATATCATCGCCCAGTGAAATGTTCAAAGATGGATACTTCCTTTGCCTGCATAAGTATATTCACGTAAAGCAATATTATCCTATAGCAAAGCTTGGCTGTGTGATTGTTTATGTCATCACAAAATGTGAACCTAACTATTGCAATGCTGTATATATAAAGTTGGATATATATATATATATATCTAGCTGTCACGGAATGCCAGGAGAAAACAAGGATAGATCCAAGTGCAGTTTATTAAAGTATAAAATAAACAGAACAGAAACGTGGCAAAAGGTAATCCAAAGCACAGGGAACAGATAACACGATGTAACCTTAACAACATCAAACACAAACATCAGATATCCAATACTGTAGCAAAGACAGACAGAGTGAGCATGGTATATGTAGTGATGGGATGATGAGTAAATGACTAACAGGTGATATGTTCAGAACAGAACAACAGGCAAGGGACTATGGGAAATGGAGTTCAACACATGTAACAGAAACGGGAGAGCGCCCTCAAGTGGCCAGTCCAGGGCACCACAACCATACACTGTGACATTACCCCCCCTCTACGGAGTGGATACCAGACGCTCCACCAGAAAACATAAAAGTTCAGGAGGGAGGTGGAACTGAGGCGGACCAGGTCAAGGTGGGGCCGGCAGGACGAACCAGCAGGGCCCCAACCATACAGAAACCCCAGCAGATAGCCAGGACGGAGCTGGAGGAGTGAGCCAGTGAGGCTCCTGCCAAACCAGAACCCAGGCGGGCAACCAGACCGGAGCCGGAATCCTGTCAGGCAACACTGGTGGGACAGAAAACTGAAAACAAGAGCAGAGAGAGTTTAGTACCAGCCTCAACGGCTGCAACAGGACAGACAGATTGCTCCGCAATGGTCTCCTTGGCCATGACCGGGCAGAGCAAGTGTTCCACAATGAACTCGGAGGGCTCACAGACTGGAATGAGTTCATAAATGGGCTCTGAAAGCTCCTGGACTAGAACAGCTTAAGTGCAGCCTCATTATAATTCAGCCCCACCGCCAATGTCGAAAAGGTCTGGGCAAAACCACCAACTTCCATTCCTTGCTGCCTCCGAGCCATAAGAGTCCGGTATCGAGCCATTCGCTCCTTCCCTGTGGCAGGAGGGCAAATCCAAAACTAGCTTTATCCGAATACATACAGTACACTCAAATAAAGCGACATACAGTATACTTAGCATATATAAAATTATTGATTTCTAATATCGTTGCAAAAAGGAAAACTATATTATCACACAGCTCTAATCTGCTAAATGCAACATGAAGATTAAGATATTAAGATATATGTAAAGCTGCTTTGAAACAATGCGTGTTGTAAAAAAAAGTTACAAAAATAAATTTGACTTGACTTGAGGTTTTAAAAGAAATTAGTGTTATAAATGCATTCATTCATTCATTTACGTACCTAACCTCATAATGTATAATCAAAATACCATAACTGAACCTTCTGGTGGACTGGTGGACGCCTCTGCAAACTTGTTCATCTACCTCCATTAGAATCAAGTCCCCATCAAGTGGACTTGGATGCACATCACAAGAATAAAAAAAAGGTCTGTCATGACTCGCTACTTCTTTTTCTTTAACTTTAAAATAAAACTGAACACAAGAATTCTGTCCATATTCAAAAGAACTGCATTGTTCTACAAAGGCATTCAAGCTGTGGGCTGGTCTTAGTGTTTGTGTTTGTGTTTGTGTTTGTGTTTGTAAAAGTGTGAAATGTTTGTGTGTGTGTGTCAGTGAGGGCCAAGTTTAATTAAGGCTCTCACAAGCTCACAGTTCCCCCTATTCAATCTGCTCCAGCTGGCCCTCAAATGAGACTCTGACGACTGAGGCCTGCTGTGAGTGTGTGATAGAGAGTGAGAGAGAAACCACTTCCATCCTGCCATGAAAGGAAGATACATAAGCACTTGAAACATGATATTTCATTGGATTGCTTTTGCAAGTTACCACCCGAATAGGGATATAGGAATTGTATTTGCAATTTTTCTTTCAAATTGAATTTACACCAAACGTTTGCCATAAAATAAACATTGGTCCTCCGATTTAAAAATGATCAGACACATTAAAAAAAATTAAAAAAAATCACTACACATTAAAAACACATTAACATTCAAAGTAAACTGTCATTTTAAATTGTCATGATGTGGAAAAAGTAACATAAGAGAAAGTGACATCAATAGAGTTTGTTGAAGTTCAAAAGTTTTTCATGCTTATGATTGTGTATGACGTCCTGCATTGTTGGTTTTTAATCACACTGTGGGATCAAACATCCACTTCTGATTGAAGTGAAAGATCATAGCATGCCAGCAGTCACAAAGGAAACCAAAGGGAAGTTGGAATGATGCAGAAGTAAAATGTGAAATGATAGTCAACATGTTCCAAATACTACTTAGTGTCTACACATCCTGATACACTAGATACAACATATAGAAAACACGATTGATCTTCTGAAGTTAGAGAGCACTGTGTACTATAAGTCACAATTTTCCCTCCACTTTCCATTCAAACCACTTAGGGAAACTAAGCTGCAAAAATGGGTCATTCAGAAATCATATGCTGAAATCACCAAGAGCATATTAACATGTGACCACCTACGTTTACATATTCATTGTCAGTTTCAGAACATTGTTAGGCATGATGTAGAGTGGAGTACATATAAAAATGCAAAAATAAAAATGTAAATGCTACAGAATTGTACTTACTGCAAATGTATGAAACATAAATGACCTTCCTTTTTATCTTATCAAGTTTTTAAGACTAGAAAAACTATGTATAAAATTCTAGTTACTTATAATTATATACTGCTATTTTAAAACACGGAGTATTTAATAACATGCTTATTTCTTTTTATCCACTGTAGGGTTCCATCACTCCCTCCCTTCCTCGCCATACACTGCAGAGCCTGAAGGTCACAGGTTACCACCCTCAGGGACGTTATCGTCAGAATTCTTGAATCAGGGTGGTTCTTCAAAGATCCTCCTGTTAATCTGCAATGTTGCTGGGTCTGGCCAACAAGCTACAAGGTAACCAAAGCACTACATTTTAAACAAATGTTACAGGCTAAGTCAGTGTTTCCTAACCTTTTTGCCAACTGAACACCAAATAGTTTACAAGAGATTTCGAGAAAACTTTCTAACCCATTCAGTGGACCCTTTGATGGACAGTAAGCCAGAGCAGTGTATTCTTTACATGTTGTTTAAAATTCAGTGGTAAGTTACTTTTTAAGCCTGGCCTACGATATTGTGTTATGGACCATGTTAATTTATTTTACGATGCTTACATTGCAAAAATTACGCAATTCTCCTTTAAAACACCCTCTCAGTTTGAAAATTTAAACCAGCTCTTTTAACTTTTGCGGCAAACACTGAATCAGTATGATTTAAGCTTCTGTCCCAACTTTATGTGCGGAGACAATTGTAAGGCAATTAAAACAATAGTATTATACTACTGATAAACATTCATATACTTGTGCCTTTATATTTCACCTTATTTTACTGAAGGTGTAACTGAACTTTAACTTCTTTACTTTACTTAAAGTGAACTTAACATGTCTTATTTTTTAACAAATTATTACTTTTATCAATAAAGGATGCCTGAAATTGATTAAAGATGACCATCTGAAATATTACAAGCAGTACTATTTCAAATTAATACTCTTCTTTTAAACATATTTTTAAATCAAACAATGTGTCAAGGTTTACACAAATGTATTAAGCAGCACAACTCTTTCCGACTGTGAAAATAATCAGAAATTTTTCTTAAGTGCCAAATCAGCATATGATGTGTAATAGATCATGTGACACTGAGGGCTGGAGTATAAAACAGTTATTTTAAATTCTAATAATATTTCACAACTGTACTTTTTACATCAAATAAATGCAGCCTTGGAGAGCGGAAGACTTTTTTTGAAAATTTTGCTGACCCCAAACCTTGAATGGTAGTTCAATATATAATAAAATGAATGATTCAGCTTTATATGTAATATGTGTTATATGTGTAGGGATATATTTAGATTTTGAATTGTTTTACCCATTTAAAAATATACATAATAAATGTATTACGTATTTGCACAAAAAAAGCAGATTGGTGTAATGCTGCAGCATTCAGTCCTTTGCTATATTTACAAGAGACAGTTCAAGATGCACAAAGACATTAATTCATACAAGTCAGATCAGTCAGCTCTGTCAGAATCAATAATCCAAGTAAGTAAACTGCAGAACAGGGATCATCTTGCTTGCTCCACCTACAGCTGCACTGATCGCCTGGACTCTGGGGAGCAGAGCATGTGAGCGAAGCGGAGCGGTGTGACGCTCCGCTACGTGGGGAGTGCTGCATCTGGCACAGTCTTCATCACTAACCTCCAGCTGTCAATCAGAGCTGCACACAGTCTCGCTCCCTCACCCGTGGAAACAGATGACGGGTATTCCCCTGAAACACTTACAGATGTCAAGATGACATTTTAGGGCCTAAAGAAAAGGGAGAGAAAGAGAAAGTGTTTGTGTACTGCACCTTAATGGCAGATGCCTGCAGCCTCTGGCCCACATTTGATATTGGAAGTTGTCTCACGGATTCAACATTTGCAACAAAAGTTAAAAGAGCTGTACCAGGTTTAAATTTTCAATCTGAGAGGGTGTTTTAAAGGAGAATTGTGTAATTTTTGCAATGTTAATTTGATTCTGTCCCAACTTAATGTGCAGAGACAACTTTAAATCCATTCCTAGGTTCAATTCCCTAAAGAGTGTGAGTGCATTGGTTCTATGGCACTTTCAAAACATTGCTCTGTTTGCTTGAGCAGTCTGATGTGTCTACTTCTAATTCAACCGATGTTGTCAGGCAGGTCTACCTGTAATATCTGATTTCTGGGAAACTGTTTTGCAGAGTTCTTGGTAAATCGTATTTATTTGTGTGGTGCAGTAGTCTCGCATAAATAAGAAAAGTGGTAAGTTAACATTGGCAAGTAAATTGTTAAGGACTATGTTACCAAGCATTGAAAATATATACAACGAGAGAGTGTTAAATAAGGCAAATAACCTAGTGAGTGATAAGAGGCATCCCCTTGCCTCTGCTTTTGAATTGTTGCCATCTGGTTGACTGTATTGTCTTCCTCGAAACAGATCCAAACAATTTTTTATCTCTCAAGAAATCATATATATATGATATATATATGAAATATATATATATCTGAAGTCTATAAAAATGTGACTCGACTCAAGTGCCCATCTATATATATATATATATATATATATATATATATATATATATATATATATATATATATATATATATATATATATATATATATATATATATATATATATATATATATATATATATATATATATATATATATATATATATATATGTTATAATTTTTTTAAATAGTTGATAAATGATGACCAGCTGGTCATCCAACTCCTTTATTCATTTATTATATTTATCTGAAATGTATTTTTTTATACCACAATAATAGACTGATGTGAAAATCAGTCAATCAATCAATCAATCAAATTGCACAGCAGTCTGTACCAATGTTTGTACAGAAAACACTGGAAAAATTAAAAATATTTATAGACTGTGGTCAGAATTTCTCCCCGTCCACAATTCACAAACTGTCTAGTTCACTAAATGCTTACTAAATTGTTTCAAGTAAAACTCTGAATATATTTCAAAGACTAGCGAATTCAGTGTTTATTTAATCTACAGAAGTTATGTTTGTATCGACACAGTCAGAAAACTCTGTTCCCTTAAACTGTAAAGTCAATAAATCAGATTAGAGCTTGCCGGATTGAGAAAGTGTATATTTACATATACATGTATTCAAATATGCATCAGATGGTCAGATAATCTTAGATAGATAGATAGATAGATAGATAGATAGATACTGTCACTCATTCTCTTTTTCTCTCCAGGTTTGGGCCTCCAATCCTGATGAGAGTAGAAAGGACTCTGTCTTGGGATCATCTACAACAGAGTGTCTGCAATAAGCTTTACTTATTTCAGAAAAATACAATCATAAAGGTGAGTGTGAGCTGAACATAAATTACTACTCTCAGGTTTTGGTGTTAGCCGCATATGCTGTGGTTAGAGTTAAAGTAATTATAGGATACCAAATCTCTATATTATGACAGAAGCCCCTCGGTAATTATGAGACCTCTCTCCCTGCAAGCTTAAATATGCACATGGGAGAAGGATAATCATAGAGACTAATGAGTTGAACAGGCGATGGAGAGATAAAGAGAAAGAGAGACGGTCATGAGTATAGATTCTTTTTCACTCTTATTAAATACACACCTGTTGGAGTTACTGACTGAATATGAAAGTGAATATGAAAAAGAGAGACTAGTTTAGCTTTAAAGTTTGCAAAGTCAGGGAATCATCTTGAGTTAAAATCTAAAATACATTTTAACCACTTCATCAAATTAACTAATGCATTAAATGCCACTTTGAACAGTAAGTCTTTAAAACTGGATGTCACTGTGTTGTAACACCGGTCCTGTTCACTGACTCAGTTTTTTCTATGCTAATTCTCACAACTTATTTTTACTTACAATATTAAACCTGATAGATTGTATAGGAGCCTTGCACTGCACAGCAAACTAAATGTGTTAGAACGTATTTCAGAAAATTAATGAGAAAGAAAGACACGAGATCTTACAATGTCTCCTAATTGATTCAGTACAACAGATTGGCCAGTACTGCAGAGAGCAGAGTTGTATTGTTGTAATGTCTTCACACCGTAATAAATTAAAGTACCAATATAAACTCACCTTCTCAAACAAAAGTCAGCTGCCGTTTTCATCTGTTCATTGTTTCCCATTAAATCTTTAATTTATCACTCTGTACGCTTGAGTACAGCTCCATTTTGCTCTATTTCTGCTTTAAATTGCATCTTTAGAGCCTGATGTTCCTCTGTTCCTCAGTTCCACTATAACTCATGCTGCTGTCATTCCCAGAGAAAGAATGAAACAAATGCCTTTTCAAAACTCTTAATGCAATAAATTTGTTAATGCAAAGAATGTGATATTATCAGGAAACTGTTTACATTATTTTCAGTGGTGCTAGAATGTTTATGAATCAAGATTTTGAAATGTTGTCACTCATGCATTGACAACATTTTCCAGGAAGTATATATGTTTATTATCATATAATTAAAAATAATGGGGTAAAAATTGTGTTTAGCAGTCCCTAGTCTATTCAAACATAAACCTGGAGGTTAAAGGGTTAGTTCACCCAAAAATCATAATTCTGTCATTTAGTTATTCTCATGTTGCTCCAAATCCGTAAGACTTTAGTTAATCTTTGAAACACAAATGAAGTTACTTTTCATGAAACCTGAGAGGTTTCTGTCCCTCCATTGAAAGTGCATTCCACCGAAAGCTGATTAAGAGATCATAAAAGTTATACATATGAACCAAGCTGTTCAATTAGTCTTCTGAAGAGGCTTGATTGTCTTATATGGCAAGCATATTTAATTCAGGCTCTTATTCACATATAAACATTGATCAACACATAAATATTTCTTGGTCATAGACATTTCTGAGGACTTCCAGAAAATCATTGTTGATGCACCCCAGGCTGGAAAAGGTTCAATCAGATTACAGTACATATTACAGATTACAAGTGAAAGAATCTCAGCTACAATGTTACTTTACTTTTGAGTGGTTGTCTAACAAAAATCACTCCAGGAGCAAGACAAGTAATACTCAAGGAAGGGCCCGAGGGTAACACCTATAGGATCCCCAGGCCTCTTTTACATTGTCTGAGATTAGTGTTTATAATCCGTCACCATCAAGCAAACACTGAACAGGAATGGTATGCATGTCAGCACAGCAATGAGCAGTGCTGGGTAATAACTGATTACATGTAATCTGGATTACGTAATTAGATTACATTTTCAAATGCTCATAATCAGATTACAGTTACTTTTTTATGGATTACATGATTACATATTATTCACACAATGGCATTAAATTATTCATAATTTATTGATTCTCCCTAATTCTAATTTTTTCCACTTTTAAATGTTAATTTCTAAAAATGCTACTGACTGTGTGTCATACCATTCAGCTTTGATTACATTCCCAAAAACAGAAAGAAATATTTCAAGGAATATATTTTCTTTCCCTTTGCTTTTTTTTTTATATCAATATGGTATGTTTAATGGAAAGTTTAAAACATGTTTGATAAAAAGTAATCTAAAAGTAATCTAAAAAGTATTTAGAATACATTACCTAAAATGAGTAACCTAGATGTAATCTTCGTGTAAAATGTAATCTGTAATCATGGTCTACAAGTAATCTACGAGGAAGCCACTGCTCTCCAAGAATATTGCTACTCATCTAAAGTTTGCCAAGGACCACGTGGGTGAGCCAGAAGGCTATTTATTGGAAGAATGTCTTGTGGACAGATGAGGCCTAAAAATAGACATTGGTTTAAATGAGAAGCATTACATTTGGGGGAAACCAAAACAGTGCATTCAATAATATGAGCCTCATCCCAAATGTAAAGCATGGTGGTGGCATTATTATTATTTGGAGCTGATTTGCTGCCTCTGTACTAGGCTTGGCATCATTGATGGAACAATGACCCCGTGTTTTCTACAGGGTTTTTCAGTCCTTGAACTGAAGCTCAACAGAAAGTGGGTCCTGCAAAAAGACAACGACCTTAACACACAAATAGGTCTGATCCCCAGTCACAGAAAACATTTGATTGCCATTATTGTCTCTCGAGTTGGTCAAACCAGATTCTGAAGGCAAAGGTTCACTCTTAAATCAACATTATCAGAAGATCTGATCTATACAAACTACTGTTCAAAAGTTTGGGTTAGTAAGATTTTTTGTTTGCGTGTTTTTCAAAGAAAAAAATAAGAAATAATTGCACAAAGACTGTAATTATTTGATCAAAAATACAGTTAAACAGTAATATTGCAATATATTCTTTCAAAAACAAATGTTTTGTATTTTAATGTTTTTATGTGATGGCAAAGCTGAATTTTCAGCAGCCATTACTTCAGTCAGTGTCGCATGATAATTCAGAAATCTTTCTAAAATGCTGATTTAGTGCTCAAGTAACATTTCTTATTATTGTCAATCTTGAAAACAGTTGTACTGCTTCATATGTCTGTTCATGATCCTTTGAAGTGGTATTTTTGTAACAATGTAAAAGTGTTTACTGTCACTTTTGATTAATTTAATGCATTCTTGCTGAATAAAGGTATTACATTAAAGAAAAAAAAAAACTTACTGACCCTAAACTTTTAAACAGTAATGTTGATCAAATTTATCCAGAAAAGCAGATTTTAAGGGTTCACAAACTTTCTAGAACCACTGTACACTCCCTTATGTCATTCCAAACCTGAATAATGTTATTTTTATGGAACACAGTTAAGAGTTTTTGAAGAATCTTCATGCAGTTCTTATTCATATAAGGACTTTTAGTTAAATGAAGCTACAGGTGGGGTGAATCAATCATTTGGTGTTACATTTTTGATGAGTAGTTTTATTTTTCCTTCTACAGACTACTCAACTGTTTAGGATTTGTGTGGTGGGTGGGTCGGCTTCCTGCAGTTACCTGTCTCCCCACGACAGCAGACCTCTGTGCCACCCAACCGTGGACAGGTGAGCCCACATAACCCAGCCGAAAAAAACAAAGCACTAAATATACACTTCTGTTCGAAGGTGTGGGAGCGGTACAATTATTTAAAGGGTTAGTTCACCCAAAAATGGGTTTTACTCACCCCCAAGCCATTCTAGGTGTGTATGACTTCCTTCTTTCAGACAAATCCAATCTGAGTTATATTACAGTTTTTTACAATCGCTAAGACAATTTTTTCAATTCTCATAACAATTTTCCTAAACTCTTAAAGCACCAACAACACACAATCGGCAAAACAGTTAATTTCATGCTCAAAACCGCACATTGTAATCTGAACTCCAACACTTATTTTCAAAATACAATAATACACTAACACAATACACCTTGTCTACCAAAACACTGCAAACATCTCAAAATCAATAATTATCCCAAAACACTAACACATGTTCTCTTTCAACAGGAACATTTAGTCGATCATAGTACAATGTCATAAAAACACTAACATCAGATGGAATTACTGAAACTGCATTATTTTATGTGTCAGATCTTCCCTTATACAATAGTATATTGTATTGATCATAAATTGTGTTTTGCAGTTTTTTTTTAAGCCTCTCTACATTTTTGTTTTGTTGGGTTTGGTAAATGGACATCATTCTCGAATGGGTGTCAAACCAGTCTGTGACTGCACGGAAATGGTGTTCCATGTGATCACATTGTTCCATGTGATCACATACTATTGGCAAGTGGTTTCCCACCCATCACCTTTCTACCTCTGGCACCAGTCTTTCATGCAGGTTTTCTAAAATCTCACATTTATGCAGGAGTTCACTTTTCCAGAGAAGATCAGCGCAAAGAGGTCCTCTTTTACTGTATACCGTATGATCATGCGATTGAAAGAACCTCAACACCTGAGTGTGCTTCCTAGATGGGAATCAGCTGTAACTTATATATTTGCAAAACTTCAATCAGCTGTTTCTCATTAGTGAATAAAAAACGGGATATATTTGAGTTTCAATTCACAATATGAACAGCTGTTTACTTTGACTTTAGCCTATAAGTTAGGTTTAGAACATGATGTTATCTGTTCTGACATACAGAGTGAAAGCATTTGTAAATATGGCAGTAAAAAGCCATTGTTTTGGTCTTGGTTGAGCTTCTTTGTAAAAGAAGTTCTAGCATTTTAAATTTGTGTTAACTATATGCATTTTGTGTCAAAGCAACAAGAAATGTGTTAATTGTATTGCCTACACCAGTGGTTCTCAAACTTTTTCAGCAGAAGGCCCCCTTGTGTAGGGTGAATCCTTTTGTGGCCCCCCCCCCCCCCAAAAAAAACACAAAATCGCATTTCTTAAAAACTGTTTTGGATTAATGGGGTGGATACTTCTGAATCAAGACATATTTGAACAACAGTTAAACGGATTGTTCCTAATTGGATGCACCACTTTTACTTCATATCACATTAATATAAATTAAAGCCAATGAAAATCAGTTAAAAGTATATTAATTTTAATAAATGTAATATTAATCATCAATACAACCTAATGAATATTCCAATTCATTAGTATATACTGATGATTTATTTCATATTGATGACTTACATTTTAAACTATATTAACACTAGAACCGCCAGAGGTCGCTGTATACCTAAAAGCGCCAGCGGGTAGATTTTACCCACGCACATGGCAACTGTATTTATATGGCTAAAGAACATATTATTTCACTGTATTATGCTACTGTCTTCACAAAGAAGTGTCTAGAGCAGTGGTTCTCAAACTTTTTCAGCAGAAGGCCCCCTTGTGTAGGGTGAATCCTTTTGTGGCCGCCCCAAAAAAAAACTCATGCCGTAAAACATCCCCAAACTTACAATTTACTTAAAAAATTTTAGATTGTACCAAAAACAAATGAATTTGTACAATGCCGGAACATTAAATGATGTTTGTAGCCTTATTTCTGTATACTTTGTAAAAAAAAAAAAGTGCATTAAACTACATTTTGATGTAGTAAAATGACAGTGGCTCAACAGTTTGGTTTGCAATTTGAACAGCAATCTGATTTTTTTCAACAATCTTTTTTTCTGCAAGAAACAAAAAAATGTCTACTCTTAAAAAGAAATAGTTTTACAATATAAAATAAATATACAATATTATACAAGTTTTACAATATAAATGATATCATGCAATGCAGACACATCAATTTAGTAACCACTGTACAAGTACACACAACCTGCCTTAGTGGGAAGGGTGAGACTGTCTTTCTTTGCAGAGCATATCAATTCTGGGTGTTATTGGGGACAGGCAAACTCTCAAGTCATCTTCCACATTAAGCCGTGCCGTGTATTTTGTCTTTATTGCCATCATGGCTAAGAAAGATGTCTCACAAAGATATGTTGTTGGGAAAGGCAGCAATATTCTCATGGCCTGAAGAGCAACCTCCTTGTACTCCTTTTCAACTGTGGGCCAAAATTCTGCTGGGCCCTACATATTAAATCTCATCCTGAGAGTGCGATCACTGGATAATTCTAAAAGTTCATCTTCGGCCATTCCGCTGAGGTCACTGGCCATCACTTCACAAGAAAAGGGATCTCGAACCCAGTCATATTTCTCCATGTCAATGTCTGTGAAGTAGTGACTGAAATGTTCATTCAGTGAGGTGAGGTGACTGGTAATGGTGTTGAGCATGAAGTCCACTCCCATGCAGTTTGTATCCAAAAATTCACATAGATTTGGAAACATGTCAGTGATGCCTCTTTGTAGTTTATGTACCATCAGTGCAAACAGACACACATTTTTCCCAACTCAGATGTTCTTCTACCATGAAAGTGTCCAACATTTAGAAAATTTCCTCACCTGTAGTTCTCCCCTCGAATTCTTTTGAAAATAAAAAATCTTCCATAATTTTACTGTCCCATAAATATCATACGTACACTAACAACTGTGCAGCGCTGCTAACGTCAGTGCATTCATCAAGCTGAAGCGCAAACTGCTCACACAATCGTAATCTTTCGGTCAGTTGAGATTTCACATCAAAAGAGATGTCTTTGATCCGTCTGCTTACTGTATCGTTGGACAGCGGTATGGATTTAATCTTGTTCGCGGCCTCCTCCCCAACCATCACTCTGCACATATCCACTGCTGCTGGAAGTATTAATTCCTCCCCGATCGTGTGAGGCTTTTTACATTTGGCTATTCGCAGGGCTGCAAGATACGATGCTTGCTGTGCTTTCTCAGGTATTGTCGTGATGTTAGTCAGTCGTACCTTTTGCTTGATGTATTCTTCTTTCTTTCTCTGGAAAAAATCCTTACTTTTATTCGTATGCTCCGGATGAATTGTTGTGAGATGTCTGTTGAGTTTATATGGTTTCAGCGCTTCGACTGATAAAATCTTCAAGCACAGGGTGCACTGTGGTCTGCCGTCACTATATTCCATAAAGCCATATTTTATATACGAGTCGTCAAATTTACGCAGTTTACTTTTTTTCACGCTAGGCTCTTCTGTATTAACCTTCTCTGCTGAGACACTGCATCCTCTATCTAAAAACGTATCCATTTTAAAGAGTCTTAGCATTTATCAGCGTGTTCATGGCTAACCGTTCTGTGCACTAGTATGTCAACGGAGCGTTTCCATAGTGTGCTGCATATAATTGATATTATTTTATTATCTTTAAATATTTCTATTTTTTAAATACATCATAGTTTACATAGATTGACAATCCTGACTTACATACAGGTAAAATAATTTTTTATAATAATTTCCTAATCTAGATTCTATCGAATCCATGTGTTTTTGTAACTTCTGCATGACTGTCGTATGCAGAAGCGTTCTGGCGGATGATGAAGGACGTATGCGTCGCGCACGCTCCTCTGAGATATGCTAGTCTCACGAGTTTGTTTAAGGAAGCAAAGTTTCCTTACTTTAGCAAAGGAAAACCAGTCTCCTCTTGGCTTATATGGAAATCCTCCGACATTTTTCTTTACAAATACTTGTTTTGTGCTTCTAATTCATGACCGGCGTTTTGTTCTCTCTCCACGTTTGTCACTAATTATGCAACGCCGACGTCCTACGTGATCCGCCGGAACTGCTTCCGCGTATGACAGATAGCGGAAGTGATAGAAAAGTGTTTATTACGTTTGAAATATGGATATTTTTCTTACAAAAACGCATGGCTTCGCTACAGGATGCCTTCATTCACCCCCAGAGCCATGTGAGGCACGTTATATTATAGATGCATGCGCTTTATTTAACGTGTTTTGGACTGTTAAACAGAAACACCCGCCCACTACAATGATACAGCTTAGAAGAGCCAGAACAATTTTTAATATAACTCCAATTGGATTTGTCTGAAAGAAGAAAGTCATATACACCTAGGATGGCTTGAGGGTGAGTAAAACATAGGCTAATTTGAATGTTTTTGAAAGATTCTCTCTACAGTTGCTCTTATTTGATCAACAACACAGTAAAACCATAATATTGTAAAATATTATAATTTAGAAGAAATGTTTTGTATTTTAATATATATTTCAAAATGTAATTTATTCCTGTGATGACAAAGCTGAATTTTACTCCACTCTTCAGTGTCACATGATCCTTCAGAAATCATTCTTATATGCTGGTTTGGTGCTCAAGTAACATTTTGTATTATTATCAAAGTTGGAAACATTTGTGCTGCATAATATTTTGTGGAAACTGTGATTTCAGGATTCTTTGATATATAGAAAGTTCAAAAGAGCAGCATTTATTTAATTTTCAATCCTTGCTAAATGAAAGTGTCAATTTCTTTAAAAAAAAAAAACAAATTTTTAAAAATCATACTGACACCAAACTTCTGAACTGTAGTGTATGTATAGAAATTAATTGATACAGAATGTTTTCTGTACACCCTAAATGCTCTTCAGTGGCACTAAAGTTAATATCTCCAGCTGCTTTAAACTTTTTAATTGGTCTCCAAACACCCACATCACAGTATTTTAACCTAGTTTGCACTAATTGTATCCTCTCCTCTGCATCATGTTTGTGAGGCTCTAGAGAGACAAACCCAACAAGCCAAAGCATGAAGAGCTCATCCTCTCAGTGCTGTAGGTGTAACACACAGTCTCAAAAGCCAATGATCCATTTCTCATTTTAAAGAGCTTAAAACTCAGTTCCACAGTCGTGACGGCAGCCTCGTTCGCTTCTCTGCCTGCTATTCTGGGCTGTTTTCCTCCCTCTGAAGTGAATATAACAGAATTATGACGTTTTTATTTGTGAATGTGTTCTACTTTAAAGTTTAATGTTTTTAAATTAGAGTTCAGTAAAATGGAATGGATCCTTAGAGCAGATTATGTATTAAATCACAAACTATGGAGTCTGTGTCCATGTGTGTGTGTGTGTACCTGGTATTTATCACGTTATGGGGACCAAATGTCCCCACAAGGATATTTTTTAGGTCCCCATGAGGAAACAACCTTATAAATCATACAGAATAAAGTTTTTTGAAAATCTAAAAATGCAGAAAGTTTCCTGTGAGGGGTAGGTTTAGGGTATAGGGTAGAAAGTACAGTTTGGACAGTAGAAAAACCATTACGCCTATGGAATGTCCCCATAAAACATGGAAACACAACGTGTGTGTGCGTGCGTGCGTGTGTGTTTATATTGAAAATAAATATTAATACGATTTTTTTTTCTCTATTAAATGAAACTCATGTGGTGTGACCATGAAAGTCATGGTGCAACCAACACGTATATTCAGTTGGGTAACACTTTATAATAAAATCAAACATTATATAATGCTAAACGGATCATTTGTTAATATATATTAAAATAGCTAGAAATATGAGATAATGTGCTTGTTAATGTTTAATAAACTTATTAAACATTACCTAATTATTAATAGATCATTTTTTATGTAAAATGAATATGCTTACAAATGTCATCAAACTTTCAGTTCATATGATCATGCACTTCTTGAAAATCTACAAATGATTTTAACATATGTTATTCAGTAATTAAAACCTTTTGTTAATGCACAACTTTTGCATTAGGGACAGGTTTGGTGTTATTGGTAGGTCTACGGGTTGGTTAAGGGGTCAACAGTATACAGGGGTCAATTTGATTAATATAAGGGAACACATTCAATATGTTTATATTACATTGTTTTGATAAATGAACAATTGTTTTCGTGGAAAACTGATTTTCTTTTAAGTGACATGACATGTGGCCAAGTATGGTGACCCATACTCGGAATTAGTGCTCTGCATTTATCCCATCCAAA